TCTCTCTCGCTCTCTCTCGCCTCTCCCTTCCAGCCACTCTCACATTTAATTGTTTCTCTCAGATGTTGATAAAAGCGGATTTTGTTGTCGTTATGAAATACAGAATGCTAATGGGATCTATTTTATTCCATAAAAAACAACTATTCTTAAGAATTAAGCTAGCGTTAAATTTATTATTTCCCAATTGACACAGTTGGGGCCATTCCGGATACGGACTGCTTCATCAAGAATGTGAAGGAGAACCAAAGAAGACGGAAAGTTACGTATCAAAATATGTCCAGAAATGCACAGTGGGGAATTCAGACCACGATCGCAAGTACAAACACTATAGCATGAATAGACATAAACAGGAAGCGGTAATTTGTTGATAAATTATTATAAGTGTATCAGGCTGTCATTGACACAATTAAGGTTTTGTGGGAGCTAGACTTCAACCCTGCTTGTTAAGGCCAACCGGACAGAGAGGGATAACAGCATCCCAGCAGAAAGAATCAGGTACTCAATGAAAATTCTCCCCACTTGGGAGTCAAACTCAAGTCTTCTGCGTGCGACGGTCAAGTGCCTGACCACTGCACCACACACGCCGGTACATAGCAGTTATAACTCACACTCAAAAACACCTTCGGGTAAATTAAATAATGAATCATTAAAGAGCGTAGACACATTCTTACCAGAAAACAGTATGTACAAATCCCCCTCGCTAAGAAACCTCCTAACCGCTGGTTTGCCAAAAGCACTGCCTGCTAAGACAGGTAGCCAAACACTGAGGAATCGGATCAGCTGAAATCCTTTTATAACTCGCTGAAACGTGGAAGTGTCTCTGGGATTTTACGGCTATCATTGTGACATGAATGCGATAAACACTCCTTGGCTTTGACCCCTGGAGGCAGTTGCGAAAGGTTGAAAGGACGGGAAATGTGCAGCTGAAAGCCTCCTTTGTGAGATAATGACATCGTGAACACGAGATGATGAAACGGGGATATGTGAATATGTATCTGTTTCTGTATCTGCCACCGTGGG